TACTTGAACATGAAAAGTCATAGTGATGCTTCGAAAGACCCTTGTAGCCTCCTTTGATTCCTATAGAAAAGTCCTTAGCTCTTAACCTATTAATTTTTGGATTTCATCTACTATATATATATATATATATATTATGTAAAGAGTTGAGAGAATAAAATGCATCAGTAATATATATTACTTCCATTGGGAGAGATGCTAAACATAGAAAATTTCAAAGTAGAATTGAAAAAAAGGTACATAAGAAATTGATTTCATATCAACATCAGTATATATATAAGTGTTACAAATTTAGATTAAGCACTCACCTTAACTATGAAGATTTATGTCTTCAAAGAAAGAGTAAATCCCCTTTAGAAGGTAAAATCACCCCAATCCTACCCAAAAACCTGCAAATAAATTAATTGTCTTTTATTTAATAATTAAATTCAACAAATTTCAATCTTAATGTTTCTTGATACTCTAAATTAAAGATTATATGCCAAAAATGCCCTAATGGCAATTACAGATTTAGATTTTTAGAACATAAAAGGAAGAATTTAATGAGCCAATCCTTTGTATGCTAATTCATGAACAACACATTCAAGGTATACTGCCAGATTAGTAAACCAAATAGTACTACTGCCATAAACTGCTTAAAATGTTAAACCAATTCAAATATATACACATTTTCTAAAACGCAAAAATAAAAATCAATTAAACTAACCCATCATTAATGAAAATCAATATAACCCAGCCCACCATTATTAGTTATACACATCTGTATATTCATCTATTCATCTCTAAGACGCAAAATAGCTAGGTAGAGATAGAAGAGTACTAGGAACAATCGCAGGGGGGAATACAAAATCAACACATGGCATTATTACACTTGTGAAGAATGGAAGCCAAGAAATATATATATATATATATATATATATATATATATATATATATAACCTCAATCTCTCAATCAAACGAGCTAAGAACATTGGCAGCAACATTGTCAATAATCTCAGCACTGTAGAATCTCAGGTATTATAAATTTATTTATTTGATTGAAACTGAATTTAGGAGGGAATGACTCATGATGGCCATCAGAATCCACATCTAATAAAAATGGACACACTTTACCTTTGTGCATTCCTACTAATTGATGACAAATCATTTGTATGTAAACAAAAATGTAAGTTTTGCAAGTTTTACTATATTTAGAAGTATTAGCAGGCATGATTACTATCTTATTCTGTCACGTTTGCTAGACATCCCTTCAATTCTAATTTTAATTTCTAATGATTATTTATAGTCTAAACTGAAACTGAAGAGGAAATTAAATGTTAAGGACCAAATATATGTTAATGAATTTACATACAGGAGATGTAATTTTCCAGACACCTAAAGTTAGCCACTCAATCATTACAGAAACTTCATCTTATTCTATGAAGACTTCGAGATCGGATAACCATACTAGGATACTCCACATATACATGTAATTTTTGTTTTTATTTTTTTCGGAAAATAAGTATGCAAAAAAAAAAAAAAAAAAAAGTCTGTACAATATACATGTAATTTTTCACATCCAAATAGATAAATACATTTAAAACATGCCAGTTTTATAAACATGTGCCAATCTTGTAGCATTCACAGTCAAGAAAGTGATAATGGTTGTACTTTTGGTGCTCAAATATATGAACAGAGAAGTAAAAAATGGAGAGAAAAATAAATGAAACTAATGGCACCAAATAAAAATAAAAAATAAAAAACGAGGTAGGATTTATAAGGTATGCAACCAAAACTAACACTCAAAAACTCCAAAAATCAACCATGATCAATAGAGACCAAACCACTTTCATTCACATTTAACAACATTACACATGCTAGAAAATAAAACAGAGAAACCCAAATTTACCATCTCTTCGACCCTTAAAATGGGATTGTTGAAGGATTGTACTGTTTCAAGTTCCATTCTCCATGACTGGACCTTCCTCCGTCTTGCTGTTGTCCACCAGATTAAAGATTGAGAACTTCGGTGCTCCAGCTCGTCGTCAATGGCTGTTTTCCCGGAAATCCCCAAACAGCCAGATTGGGCGCACGAATAAGGATTCTGAATGATTAGGGCTCCAATGGCTTAAATTAGATAAGGAAATAACAATGGTAATAAGGTAAATGCATTGGAATAGGGAGAAGGGCATTTTAGACAACAAAAATTTTAAACAGTAAAACTTCATATGCCATGTCATCATTTAGGTCAAACTTATTTTTGTGAAAATATAAGACTTTGACTCCTTCAATGTGTAAATATGGGGCCCTAACCCAATTTATATGTAAAAATTCCTTTATTTTTCTATGACGACTAGCACCTGCCCCATCAGCGCGTGAATGTAATCTATGCACATACATCACCAATGCACCAGCTGTTAGGAAACGTGCAAGTTTTAAAAACTTTTCGAGGGATTTTGATTCATAGATCTTGATTCATCACATAGAGACAAGTTTTATGCAAAAATAAAAATATGATGTATCATTTAATTAATGGATTGAATACTTACATCAAAGGTCTGAGTAAACCTTTAAAACTTTCCTCTAAAGTGAATGTTCTCACTTATTGTAGATCCATTAGCAAGATGCCTTCTCCTTGGATCTTCATCTTCTTGATAATTATTTTACCTTTAGGAATCACTCATAAGTCTCCATGAATGACCTTGGAAAACTAGGCTTGTGGGAGCCTCCATTAGATAAGAAAATAAACCCTAATTTTCTAGAGAAAGAAAATATATTCCTTTTTCCTTCTACTAAAAATCACACCTAAAATATACATAGACCATGTATATTTATAGGCAACATAAAGGTAAAGAAAAGGAAACAACTAATCCTTCTCAATCTCTAATTCACATGTCTCAAATCTAATATGATTCCAATATCAAGTTGGGCTATGAGTGAGAATCCATTGGGCCTATTATTTTATTGGCTACAATGAATTAATAATTGGCCCGGTCCATGGACCCAATTCAATTAATTCATAAATTAATTTCTACTCCACTAAAAGAAATTAATTGAACTCCAATTAAATAATAAATAACCTCTAAGTCAATATCGCACTTTGACCCCTCTATGCATAATTAGTTATCGGATAAGTAAAGCCATCAATCCGACTACTTAATTAATATATTTATTTTGGTACCTTTGATTATTTCTGGCTCGATCACAATAAAACATTTGTTTGACAAATATAATAATTTAAATAAATAAATATATAATAAATCATTTTGTCTAAAAACACACGAAGGCCTTCGAATTTACTTTGTGATCAACCATAATCAATACAAAATAAATATAAGTAGCAATGATGCAAATATTGAAAATATAGCCCTCTAATTATTAATTACATAACTACCCAAAGTGTCGGTCTAAGGATCCCGAATAATCCGCCGAACAAATCAAAGTAATTATTAATTAATAAAAGAGTCTATAATTTTCTCATGCTTAAGAGTTAAATGCCATGACGGTGATAGGGAGCAATTGCATACGACGGCTCTCGCAATATATCTCAACCTAACGCGGATCCAGTTCAAATCTTAATTAATTATGAGTCCATCCATAATTACCGACTATGAACCATTTATGATTACTATTTATATATCATGCATTGATTGCCATCACATACATATATATAAATATCTCTTGTAATCAAATGGACACTATCAATTCTATAATGAATCAAAATATAATACATTAAATTCATCAATTGTATAAAACATAAATATTTCAAAAACGTCAGGAACATATGTCACTTTAATCCAAACAGAAATTTGCTATGCCAGGGCATATAAATCCCAACACCAGCATGTTCGCGCTTCATTAATAGGCATAGCTTGCGTACGTGCTAGTATCATATATGTCACTAGCATTTGGGTATCATGCACAACAACGCTTATATACGCACAAGCTTAGTTCATACTTCATATACGTGCATCATTAGTGTACGGACATGACTATTTGCAAAGCATAGGGGCATGTACACAAGAGAGTATTGGGCCATCTCTTGTGGGACTTTTCCGCGGCTATGTATAAATATATTATCCCAAACTATTGAGTAACTAAGTACTTTCACGAAGGAATGGAAAGGGTGATATATTTTCGGCATAGTTCGGGTTGTGAAAAGCCAAGGAATATAAAAGAAAGGTCTTTTGCGGTAGACGATCATGGCGCTGAAAACACTTGTATTTAACTTTGGAAAAACAAATATATAATTTGTTTACGAATGTTATCACGAGGAGTAAACTAATGTTATGGTCTCACCCGAGCATTTAGCAATCACAACAAAACCTGCATGCAAAGACTAAGAATAGTTCTCAATGATGGTGTTCAAGGATGTGAACCACGACACATTATGAATAAACATCATAAGGGACTATTTTAAGGTCTCAGCGCAGCGTGGGAGGGGTGGTGTCATTGGCGCTCAATGATGGCATCCCAAGCCGCTATGGTGTGTGTCATGAGCACACTTTGTCATAGTCCGGCATGGGAAAAGGGGTAAAATGTGGCATGGAATGATTGAATAAGAGGCTCGTCGGAGTAGGATGGAGGTGGAAACAGGAAACTCCCGCAACAAAAAAACCCACGGGATCGGGATATCCACGCTCTGACAGAGAAAAGGATATTGATATGACACGCGACCTAGTTAATAGGTGCGATAACTCTCTCGTGACTAGCATGTGCCCTAACGCGAGCAATCATCAAGGCCAGTTAAATCTCTTATTTTTTGGATCTCGTCCTCTTCCCCATCTCTTTCACTCTATTTTTTCCCTAAAATTTTTCTGATCAGCTGTGAGAGTAAATCAATCTTTTGGCTTCAAACCAAGTCATTTTCCATTGAAACCCTCTACAGTGAGTCTGAGTGTTTTTCGTTTTTTATTTTTTTTTGTGCCATGGATTAAAAAAAAAAAAAAAAAAAAAAAAAAAAAAAAAAAAAAGAAAAGAAAAATTCAATCTCTTTGTGTTCAGTTCTAAGAGATCCATAAGAGTTGTAATACAATGATCTAAACAATTAAATAAATAGATAGTAAAAATAAAAATAAAAAAACTCACCAAAACATAGATTACAAGCTTGGCCCTTTGCCATCGGCTCATTAACTTTCTAAGCATTAAAAAATAAAAAATAAAAAATAAAAAAAGAAAATAAAACCCTTATGCATGGGTGGCTCAATTCAACAATGTAGAAAATACAATGTCTCACATATAAAAACAACCTATTGAGTATTTGAATAATAACAAACATATCTACTTACTAAACCCATGTGCTAATTCTGCTCCTTCAACTTCTTCTTGATTAGGTTAAAAGCTTCTTCTTGACTGCATGATCTAGTTGCCATAATAACACCATTTTTTTCCCCGGTATATTTTTGTCCTTTTGGAGATGAAATGGTAAAAATGCAATCAAATATTGGCATTAGAAAGCACTCATATGCATGTTGTCGTCGAGAAGAGAAGAATAAGATACATAGTAAGATGAATGGTGGTAGAGGGAATTGTAGGTTCCAATCTAGCTTGGGACAATGGTGCCGATGTAGCCAAATCCCATAATAGTAAAGGTTAGAGTTTGGAGGAAAAGGTAAATGAAGTAGTTGTTCTTCCCATACAGAAAATCATAGCATCCACAGAAGAAGAGGAATGCTCCGAAACCCAACTCCAATAGATTAATTCTGTGAATTTTAAACCACCAAGCAATACTAAAAGAATTAGTACTAGATAATACACACACACACACACACACTGTTCATGTACAAAATATGTGCATAATTTAAATGCACTATGGTTGAAAACAAACACTCTCTCTAAAGCCTCGTTTGGTAACAGTTTTACTTCAGTCTTTTCGATTTCATGTGAAGCAGAAATAATGTTTTTGTTGTAGGGTTATATATTCCAAAATTGAAATATGTTTGGCAATAAATTTGTTGCACAATATTTCAAAAAATTACATTATATCTTCTTCTTTTGTTTATGTTTTTCACAAATTTGCCAGGAAAAACACAAAACAAAAATAGTTGCCAAACTTCCCCAAGTGAGCAACCTCATATAACTATGAAGACAAGTGGCATGCATATCAAGTGTTTTAGTGATGACAAAGAGAGAAGTAACCAATGGCCAGTGGCCTAACGGTATCAAACCCATACTTTTTAAAGGGAGATCAGGGTTCAAGCCTCGGTGGAGAGGAGGAGGAGGAGGAAAAAAAAACAAAACAAAAAAATAAGTATATATAAGGGCATTGATCTCACCTGTCTCCGATCCTAAATCGGAGTTTCTTTGGTGCTTTGACATTTGATTTGTCCTTAAGAGCATCTCCTAGTTTTTCAGTGACTACCCATTCATTAGCTCTCCCTGCTTCAAGCAGACCAATAAAAGTGGCCTTGGTTCGATGCAGAGACATCACATTCTCAAATAGGATCCAGTAAAACAATAGGTGGATTGATCTGCATTCGATCAGTTTCAAGTTGAGAAAATTAAGTCTCAATCATTTAGAACTTGTTTGGTTCTAGGGACGGAGCCAGAAATTATGTTTAGGGGGCACAATGTAATAAATTTTTTTGAGGCAGGGCAATTTTAAAATTTAAAAGAATTATACATACAAAAAATGAAATATTTTAAAGTTAAGGGGAACAAATTTTAAAATTTTAAAGAATTATACATACAACAATAAAATTTATTAAAGTTGAGGAGGGGCATTTAAAATTTTAAGAAATGTTACATACAAAAATAAAAACATTTTAAGTTGGGGGGGTACTTTTAAAATTTTAAAAAATTATGTATACAATAATATAATTTTTAAAAAACTGAGGTGGGGCACGTGCCCCCATAGCCTTAACGGACTCCACCTTGTTTGGTTCAATTTTTTTTAAAATAAATTACTTTTCATCGGATAACAATAAATTATTCTCTACAAACATAATTAAAAAATATTTGTCTTTCGAGAACAACTTTTTGAAAATATTTAGTTCAGTTTATATTTATTCAAAAAAAGTTTTTTGTTTTGAAAGAATTGAGAATTAGAAGACTACAAATATCTATTTGTTTTACAATTTCTAAATATTATTTTATAAAAACTAAGTTAATGAAAAGCCTATTTTCATAAAATTGTCTTTTTTATAGGATAGTAATTTGAAAACAACTTTTTTTGCTTTTTTGAGTTCTCCATAACCATATTTAGTAAACTGAACCAAACAAGAATACCCTTTTTAAAAAAACTGTTTTCTATGTTTTCTAGTCTTAAAGAAATATTTTGAAAAGGCTGAACTTTTTTAAAAACAGTTTTCCATGTTTTCTAGTTCTAAAGAAATATTTTGAAAAGGCTAAACTAAACACGTCGTTAGCTTTCTCTCCTAGTAGAAATTAAAGATCATTGTGTCATGAAGACATTGTGTAGATGTGTGTATACATATATAATTAGATATATATATATATATATATATATGACCTTGGAGTTCCGACGGAATTGAGAGTGGTGATGATGCAGGGGATGTAAATGGCTCCCCATTTTGGAATTTGGACTTCAGGAACCAAAATGGTCAATGGAAGTACGACGCAGTAGAAGAAAAAGGTGACCATATGAGCTATGATCTTCCGAACAAAGAAGAAGCTGTAGATCACATATACCTTCTTCCATAATGTTACTTTCTGCACAATATATATATATATATAATAGGAGATGAATAAATGTTCGTACAACTTTGCTCTAGCTAAAACTTTCGAGTATATAAAATAATATTGCACAAAAACTGGACAAAATACATAAATTGACTGACCTTGTTTCTAATGATTTCCATCACCATTTTCCTGAACAAATTAGCAGGACCACAGGACCACCGGTGTTGCTGAAAACGGAATGCTTTGAAAGTACTGGGAAGTTCACTTTTCACCTATATATATATATATATATATGAAAGAAAGAAATAAATAAAATAAATGGTAATTACTGAAGATATATAGAAAATTATAACACATGTATGTATATATATATATATATACCTGGAGGTCACCAAGGTAAACGAATTTCCAACCCTTAAGACCAGCTCGAACAGCGAGATCCATATCCTCAACGGTTGTTCGGTCCTTCCACCCACCTGCCTCATTGATAGCAGCAATTCTCCACACACCAGCAGTTCCTGCATTCATATACAATTCTTGATAATGGATTATTTTCAACACTGATATATTCAATTACATTGTCACTATCAGTCTGAACCAACCTAAGTATCCACCAACCCAAGTATCAACCGAAACACACACGGCAAGATTCATCAAGAATCGAGCATCCCTATCTGTCATTCATTGTATAAAAGATCGGGCGTTTGGCATATGTTATGATATTATTTTTTGTGATATTGATATTCAAATTTGGATACATATCATATTTGGGACCTATAAATGATACAAAATTTCAGAGTAAAACATTCGACTAAATTTATGTTGATAATAAATGACATCATCATGATTATCATCGTATTTAATGACATCATCGTAATGTCATCTTTATAAAAAAAATCTAAATACATCATACTATTTATCATAATTCATTAGAAAAATATTAATATACCATTAACATTAATTGTCAGCTTTGGTCCAATAGTCTATTATAAAATGCTGCTTTTGAAATGCAGTAAGTGAAGCACTCCGCAGTACTATTGTCAATAGAAATACAAAGAAGATATATATACACACACACACACACACATAAATAGAAGTGAGAGATTGGCGTGAGTGAAGCAATTAAACGTGCATTGGCAAATTAACAAAGGTGAGGGGTTTACCATTAAAACCAAAGAAGGCGTGAGTGGATGAGCCCACTTCTTGCTCAACTGTAAAATGGTAATCCAATGACATTTCCTGCATCCTTGTCATCAAACACTCGTCCGCGTTCACTACATAATTATATATATATACACACACACACACACCATTAGACAATTACAATTTTATCCTTTGATATATCGATGTTCTTCTTGAAATATGATGTTCAACATATTGGCATAAATCGATTCCGACACAAGACGTTACACTACTTAGCATGAGTATGAGAAATCCCCATCACATTAATTCACAGTGGCAATTAATCTCCCTTTTGATTTTTAAATAAACTTGTCCATGGGAGATACGCAAGACACATTTGTAGCCAAATAAAAAATAAAAAATTGTCTTAATTCACAGTGCCTGCTGAGCTGTTTACTTTTTGTCTTCACGAGATTCAAGTAAATCATCTATTTACCATTGCACCCAAGCGTCGGTGAGGGAGTGTGGGCCCAAGAACTACTAGTTTGGACCACGTTGATACTTAACCCTTCAAGTTTATATTCTTGACCACCAAATAATACGGATTAAACTATACTACTGCGCTGCGCTACAGTGTATCGGTTGTGAAAAAAATATTAGAATGCAAATTAAAAAAATATCAGCTTATAATATTTTTATAACGTGTATTACTAATCCTCTTTATGGAGTGAGATAGATACATTGTAATGTAGAAAACATTTTTAATTCAAATAATACAACCGAATACCTTTTTATTCTTAACTATCTAGTATTTTAATGGCTAGCTAGATTAATTTCGTAACAAAACTATCAATTTCACCTAAGAGTGCGACTGTTAATTCTCACTTTCTGAATTCAAGAATTGGAATCTGTCTAAGACACCTTTTCAAAATAATTTTTTCTATCATACATATATGGAATTAGAAGACTGCAGTTGTTTGGTGTAAATAATTTAATATTTAAAAAAATTCAAAACCACCATCTTAATAATATATATATATATACATTGAAGATGCAAGGAATTCATTTCCATTTTCTCTCTCTAGAATTCTTTCACTTCAACAGAATAATCCTCTTCTCTATCCATTACTTCTCATATTTATAGATACTTACAAACACTAATGGACTGCTAGATCTGGGCCCGTTTGGTCATCTTTGATGGGCTATTCGCGTTCAGCCCATATGACAGTATTTCTCTATGGGCTGGACCCAACTGCTCAGACCGGATGCCATGTTCGTGGTTCATATCCGGCCCATGTCACTTCTGGCCTCCTCAACTGCCCCCATAATTACTCCCTATTTAATAAGGGGGTAATTATCAAATGCGTCTCATCATGACGTTGACGGCTCAAGAAACTCTTATGGGGGAATGGGCGGTCGGATCCGGAATCAATGTTCTGGGATTCGATAAACTTCTCGCCTCCCTGACGCTTCGGCCCTCGGGTCCACTTCGTCTTTATAAGGCTCTAGAATGCCACTTCATGCCTTTTTACTGTCTCCATCTCACTCCATCATCAGTCAAATCTCTCGCTCATTTTTTTAAAACAGTGCTAAATTTCATCCGGTGAAATTCTTCAAGAGTTATTCTTCCAGCGATCTTGCAGTGTTCTTTGCTGCTTTCTACCCCAGAGGTTAGTCTTGTTCCTTTTTACTTTCGGTAGACTTCTTTTTACTCTTTTAGATCCTTCATTCGCTTTCACCATGGTTGTAGATCTAGATGTTCTTCGTATGAGACTTAGACTTCCTGACAACATCCAAGTTAGGGTTTGCCCTAGAGATGTTAATATTATGACCGGTGCCGGCCTTCTTCCCGGCAAGGTTTTATTTACTAACCTTCAACTGAATGTCGTTAGGTTCCCTCTGCATCCCTTCTTTAACTATGTTTTCAATAGACTGGGGATATCCCCTCTGCAGGTAAACCCAAATTTCCTTAGAATCATATCCGTTATGTTACTACTGATTCGTGACAGAGGTCTGGATCTTGACCTCATAGATTTTCTTCTTTGCTATAAGGTCAGTAAGATCCGAACTGAAGAGTCATTCTACCACCTTTACCCGATCGACAAGATGTCCATATGTACGGATACAATCAAATCTGAAAAAGGGTTAGAGGGATAACATTGTGGGTGTTAGTGGGGCCTGGTCTTCGCCGGCTGCAGAGGATTACCCAATCCCGAGCGCCTTTGGCGTCAGTTCTGTCTCCTCGTATAAGAAATTCAAATCTCATAAAAACGATTGTCCCTGCGAAACATGTGTTCCTCGCTTTTGTACTTTCTTATGTCGCTCCTTAGGCATACCTTGTGATGACTTGAGCTACAGTGTTTGCAGGGATAGGAGTAATTACTTGAAGAAATACGTTCTGAACGATATTCCTTCTTGCTCAGACCTCCTCACTTCAGACAACCTTCTAGTGCTCTCATCCCTAGGCTATACAATGAGCAGGCTTCAGATTCCTTCCTTTGGTAGGAGGAAAAATCCTCCCCCAGCCACTACTGCTGCTGGAGCAACCTCCTCTCCCGGATCAGCCTCTTCTTCAGCCACCATCTCTGACACTATCCCGAGTGTGGTGGCTATTGATCCTGTTGTTAGCACCCCTGCTACCAACCCGAGCACATCTCCACAAATCACTACTACCCCTGCTGCTGCTAGGGGTGTTCGGGACAAAGAGCGAGGCAAAAGACCTCATCCTGACGGTGGAGTCAACCTCGAAGAGGAATCTCTTACAAGGAGGACCCAAGTTTCTAGGCCGAGCGCTCTCTTGCATCGCCCAGTCAGAGCTCCTGCCCCCTCCGGGCCTATTGCAGCTACTGCCTCTGCTTCTGCTTCAGCTTCTGCCTCTGCTTCTACTCCTGTTTTACCACCATAGGCTCCTCGATACACCCGAACGGATAGGACGTTCGTGATGCCGAACGAGACCATGATCAAGGATGGCCAGACCGCCATGGCACACTATAGGAGCATGTGGACTCCAAAAGACCTTGAGGCAGCGAAGCGTCTGTCACAAAAGGATGTGTTCAGCCGCTTTCCCCAATCTGCCATGGAGGTGACTTTTATTTTCTAACTCATGAATCTTCTCATAATATTTGCTCTTGCCTTCGTCCGACCAGGCGATCGGTTTAACCAGTATTCATGCATCTCTATGCAGACTTTGTTTGGTATGATGGCTATGCAGAAACAAGTGGAAATGGGGAACGCCAGGGCCCGTAAATTCTCTGATAGCCTGGATGTGGCTAATAAGGAAAAAGATATTCTTGCCAACAAGAACACCGAGCTATTAATTAAACTTGAAAAAGCCGAAAAAGAGAGATGCTCTGAAGAAGGAGACCGACTCTCTTCAGGATGAAAAAGATGCCCTTCAGCTTGAGAAGAGCGTCTGGCAGACTGAGCGCGATTCAGTTAGAGATGAAAAGGCAGAGCTCCAGCACCTTCTGGCTGACGAGCAGTCTGCTCAGATGGCATTTGAGAAAAGAGCTCTGGACGAGCGCAACACTCTGATTGACACCATTAGCAGAGTGAATGGTGGCATGTTGGCTCTTCATGCTCGGTTTTCAAGAGTTGGAGCTCTTAGATATGCTCAGGGATTCCGAGATGGTTTTTTCGACCGAGTTTCGGCTGAGGGCCAGACCAGTTCAACTCCGGATGAAATTGATAAGGATCTAGGGATTGACCCTCTGGGGGTCTATGTTGACCCAGAATCCACCGCAGCCGAGCACATATTTGATAAGTGTCAGGAGATTGCTTCCTCCAGGATCACTACAGCTCCTTCTACCGTTCAGCCTCTAATTGTTCTTCCTTCGTCAACTATGGTATCTCCCATAGTCACTGCTGATGTTGGGCCCCAGCAGAACGACTCTGTTATTCATCTCGATTCCCCACCTTGTGAGGGTGAGATGGCTAATGGGAACGAGGAGGCGAGTCAGCACAACCAAGAAGCTGACGTTACTGAGGCAGCTAGCTAGGGCTATTCAGATCCCTCAATTTCATACTCTTTTGTAGTCATGTGATTTGAATACTTCACTTTTTGTAACCTCGAAGCTTATTATGAATGAGACGATAAAACTTTTTGTACTATGCTCTGTTCAAACCCACTTTCAATACTTTTTCATATTGACTTTGCCGTGTGAGTGAGTGCCTGGCGCTCGGCCTGAATGCCACACGCCACTTGACTTTTTTATTTTTAGCAAGTGTTTGGCGTTCGGCTCATGGTGCCAGCTGCCACTTATCTCGTTTAAGTGCCTGGCGCTCGGCTAGAATGCCACTTGCCACTTGGCTTTTTTATTTTTAGCAAGTGTTTGGTGTTCGGCTCATTGTGCCAGCTGCCACTTATCTTGCTTAAGTGCCTGGCGCTCGGCTAGAATGCCACTTGCCACTTGGCTTTTTTATTTTTAGCAAGTGTTTGGCGTTCGGCTCATTGTGCCAGCTGCCACTTATCTTACTTAAGTGCCTGGCGCTCGACTAGAATGCCACTTGCCACTTGGCTTTTTTATTTTTTCATTTTTTCATCCTTTTTTTTTTTTTTTTTAAACCCTTTGAAAAGAAAAGCTATTTTTATAAATCTCAGGAATTTGCACGTTTATACGTACTTGATTGAAAACAAACAACATCCGATAAAACTGAAACTTAGCTTTTATTGATAGTACCTCTTTAGAGACGTAGCATTCCAGGGCTTGTTGACCAACCTTCCTGCCATGGTTTCTAATGTATATGCCCCTTTCCCTATGACTTCTGCAATTCTGTATGGGCCTTCCCAGGGTGACATCATTTTTTTGACTATTCCCACCTTTCTTTTCAGAACCAGATCGCCAGGGGCAAAATCTCTGTGTTTCACTCTTTTGTTGTGACTATTCGCCAATACTTGCTGGTATGATGCAAGCCTTATTGCTGCAGCGTCCCTCTTTTCGTCTATCATATCGAGGTTCAATCTTAACATTCTGTCATTCTGACTTTGACTCTATGTTAAGCTTCTGATAGTTGGGACCAAGTGCTCAACCGGTATAACCGCCTCGGTACCATACGCCATTGCAAACGGGCTCTCCCCAGTCGGCCGCCTTGGGGTGGTTCTGTAAGCTCATAGGACGTTCGGGAGTTCATCCAACCACTTACCTTTATGGTC